AAAATTCATGATTTTCAAATGCCATACTCTATGATTTTTGTTCATTTTTATTCGTTTGTTCATTTTTATTCGTTTCCATTCTAGCAACTAATTGGGCAAATTTTAATATTCCCAATTTCTTGAACTATAACACGCAATTTGTCCATTATTCGACCCAATGATAATTAATTATGACTACTTCAAAATTCGCAATTTTGATGGATTATAACCCATGATTTTGGTAATGTTTGTTTACTTCATCGGCTTTAAAATTTGCAATTTTTATGGTATATAACCTATGGTTTTTTCAATTTTGTTTGTTTCAATCCAATGATAATTAATTATGCGCATTTCCAAAATCAAGATTTTCATGGACTATTACCCGTGATTTTCAAAATTAGCAAATTTCATAAGTTGTAGCCCACAATTTTTGTCAATATGTTTGTTTTGATTCGACCCAATGACAATTAAGTTTTCTTTCTTTAAAAATCATAATTTTTAATAGGCCATTATTAATTATTTTTGCCAACTTTCGTTCTTTAACCCAATGAAAAATAAATATGCGTATCCTAAAAGTCATGATTTTTGTGGGTTATAACCCATGAATTTATCCATTTTGATTTGTTTTTGACACAATGACAATTAACTAATTTCATGGACCATACTCCATGATATTTGTTTATTTTTGTTTGCTTCAACCCAACAACAATTAATCATGTGTATCAACAATTCGAGATTGTAATAGGTCATAACTCACAATTTTAGTCTAATTTTGTTGGTTTCAATCAACTGCCAGATAAATTTTCTTTCACCAAAGTGTGCGAAATTTACATGCCACAACACACGATTTTGTTAATCTTCGTCCATCTTCACTCAGTAATGAATAAGTATGCATACTTCAAAATTCACAATTTTTATAGGTTATATCCCATAATTTTTGTTCATTTTTATTCATTTGGACTAATGACAATTGATTAAGAATATTTTAAAATTCACGATTTCATGAGTTATAACCCACGATTTTGCCCATTATCGTTCATTTCACCCAATAGCAATTAATTATGTTTACTTCAAAATTCGCGATTTTGATGGGTTATAACCTACAATTTTGACAATTTTTTCCATTTCATCCTAATGGCTAGTTAAACATACTTCAAAATTCAAAATTTTCATGGTCTATAATTCATGACTTTTGTCAATTTTTGTTTGTTTTGACACATGTGATTAATTATGCGTATTTCAAATTTGCAATTTTCATGGGCTACATTTTCAAATTTCGCAAATTTCATAGGCTATATTCCTCAATTTTGTCAATATTCATTTGTTCGACCTAGTGGTAATTTAGGTTTTATTTCTTTTAAAATGGTGATTTTCATGGGCACCAATAATTTTTGCCAATTTTTATTCTTTGATTGTAAGCGTCAGAAAGTCTGACAAATATTTTTTTAAAAAATTTCAAAGCAGTGTTATATCCATCAAAGGAGAAATCATATTTGGGTAGACTAATCTCTTCTTGACAAGTCGTGCCACCAATCACAAGGAAAGTAGAGTAATCCCTAAATATTTACTCCTTATATACATATTAGTATCACTTTAATTGTAAAAGGGTGGATTACATGCTTCCAGAAGTTTATTTATTTCTGTTAATTACTCTTATTAAAAGAAACCCCTGATTAGTAGAAAATAAAGAATTAAACAAACATCAAAAGTAATATGTAGAGAAAATATTGATTTCATTATCTTTCTAGTATATTACAAAATTTAAGGAAAAGGAGGAGATGGGATCTGGGTCTCCAGACTGGTCTAAAACCCTCCTCCCTTTTAAAATAAAAAAATGCAAAGAACCTTGTCATCGTCTCCTTCACACTTCAAGCCTCTCTGTTTAATTTCTCTTAATCTCTTCTGTATATCTTTTTTGTGCCTCCCTGAATGCTAGAAGAGATCTCAATTTATAGAGAAGGCAACGGGGAGTTTGTCGCCAGGTGTCAAGAAGAGACTAGTGGGGCAGTTACTATAACTATCTTTGGTAACTTCTATATCACAACTGCACAGCTTGTTACAGTTGCTTATCGCAAGCAGCGTATTCTTCATTACCTTTCGCACTTGGTGTGCTTATCATATTTATTTTTGTGTTTCTTACCATAAGCCTATATGAGAAGCCTATATACCCTCAAGTTGAAATATAATTTTGTTTGTTGTTTGTATGAATGTGAATATCCTCAAGTTAAATTTTATTGTGAAGACCTATAAGCACGTGATGTCATCATATATTGAAACTGACATGCAATAGGGAGGCATCTGTCTCAGCGTTGTATTAATAAGGAAGATGTATGTACCCTCAAACTTAATTCTCAAATTGATTTACATCGGGTGTTGTCATCCTCACATTGGTTTTGATTTATATGGGGCATTACCATCCTCACATTAGGTTTTATTGATAAGGCTTGTTGAGCTCATCAAATTTAACAAATATAAAGGGGGAAGGCATGCCTCTCTGAATTAATTAATATAGAGGGACCTTCAAGTTAACTTGTGTAAGTTGATTATATGAGCTGCAGATATCGTCAAGTTAATTTCACTTTCGAAACTTTTTGCAAGGTATTATCTCTTTAATTAATTAAGCCTATGGCTTGTTGAGACGTGAAATTTTGTGAGCGTCTACATTGACCCAATGGCAAATAAGTATGTGTAACTCTAAAATTCACGATTTTCATGGGTTATATAACCCACGAATTTTGTTCATTTTTATTCATTTCAACCAAATGGCTATAACTTAGAATATTTGAAAATTCGCGATTTCATAAGCTACCCTACGAGATTAGCCTATTTTCGTTCATTTCGACATGCCTATTAATCATGCATACCAAAAGAAATCGCAATCTAATGGGTTATATAACCCATGATTTTAGTCTAGTTTTGTTGGTTCCGACTAAATGGCAATTAAATTTTCTTTCACCAAACTACTCCGTTATTTTAGGCTACAACCCACAATTTTTTAATTTTCGTTTGCTTTGACACAATGACATAAGTATGTATACTTCAAATTTCACAATTTTCACGGGTTATAACCCATTATTTTTATCCATTTTTGTTTGTTTCAATGCAATGGCAATTACCTAAAAATATTTCCAAATTCGCGATTTCATGAGCTATAATCCATTATTTTTGTCCATTACCATACATTCGACCCAATAGCATTTAATTATGACTACTTCAAAATTCATGATTTTAATGGCTTATAATCCATGATTTTGGCATTTTTTGTTCATTTCGTCCTAATGGCACATACTTTAAAATTTACAATTTTCATGGTTTATAACCCACAATTTTTTTGTCAATTTTTATTTGCTTTTGACTCAAAGGGAATTAATTATGCGTATTTCAAAGATCGCAATTTTCATGAACTATCACCTATAATTTTCAAGATTCTCAAATTTCATGGGCTATATTCCACAATATTTATCATTATATATTTGTTTTGAACCAATAGTAATTAATGTCTTTCTTTATAGATTGTGATTTCCAATGGTTATAATCAGTAATTTGTGCTTTTCGTTCTTTGATCTAATGGCAATACGTGTGTACCCAAAAATTCACAATTTTCATGGGTTATAACCCACAGTTTTCTTCATTTTTTTCGTTTTGACCCAACGGCATTCAAAATTCGCAATTTCACATGCTCACGAGTTTCATGCGTTATAACCCACGAATTGTCTATTTTTCGTTTCGAAGTAAATTGTAACTAACTAAAATATTTCAAAATTCGCAATTTCATTGGATATGACCCGCGATATTTGCTTATTTTTGTTTGTTTTGACCTAATGCAAATTAATTATGCATACCAAAAAATCGCGATTTTAATGGGGTACAACCACAATTTTAGTTTATTTTTGTTGGTTCCAACCAGATGGCAATTAAACTTTCACCGAACTACGCGGTTCCCATGATTATTCTTAATTTTTGTTTTTTGCTCCAATGAAAAATAAGCACGCATGCTTCGAAATCTCATGATTTTTATGGGCTATAGTTCATGATTTTTGTCCATTTTTGTTCATTTTTACATGATAGCAATTAATTGTGCAAACTTCAGCATTTGCTATAACCCACAAATTTTGTCCATCATCCTACATTCAACCCAATGACAATTAATTATGGCAGCTTCAAAATTTACAATTTTTATGGTCTATAAGTATAACCCATTATTTTAGTCAATTTTTATCTTTTCGACCAAATGGAAATTAATTATAAGTATTTTAAAATTCGCGATTTTCATGGGTTATCAATGTTCAAAATTAGCGAATTTCCTACAATTTTTGTCAATTTTTATTTTTTTCAACTCAAGGGCAATTAAGTTTCTTTCTTTAAAAATCACGATATCCATAGGCTATATATATGGGCGAATAAGAAATATAAATTAATAACTTGACAAGAACCTGACAAACGAAGGGACATCTAATATGTAATTACCCAAAACATGATTGGTTCTCACCACTTCCTGAAAAAACTCGAAGTAAGAAATTACTTTGTGCAAGTTTAAAGTCTAGCAACTTTAGCAAGCTATCATAATTATAAGAACTAAAGTATGTGTATCATGAAACTTAATCATCAAAGGACTAGACCAAAATCAAATCCCAGAACCTTGGTTCATCTATATGACCAAATAAGACACAAGAGAAATTGTTGTAATAACTCATATATTCTAAAAAAATGAGGCTTCCTTTTAAAACCGGCACATGGAAACATATGATTGCTCTAACAGTGTATAAAACAGGAAACAATCAACCACCTTTCTAAGCTAGTTAGCTATAATTCTCTTCTTTTTTTAACTCTTTGGAACAAAGATAAGCACATTGAGATCCACACCGAGTTAATGGAATTAACACTTCAAATTATTAAGAGCCTATGGAAATTTATGGCTAGCTGATAAGCAGGATCAATGTTTTGATAGTGGATCAAATGACAACTAAATAAAGCTAATATAACATCAAACGATAAGCTAGTAAGGAATGAATACAGCATAC